AAAAAAAAAAAAAAAAAGATAGTCCAGAAAGAAAGAGGGGAAAGGAGGGAGAAGGGAGAGGAGGGGGGAGGGCGAGTGGAGGAAGGGTATTTGGCAGTATCGCACCTAATGTACACAATGCAAGGGTACATTTCAAAACAACTAAGAGTATATTATAAATGTCATACCACAAAAATAAGTAAGTGAGGTGAGTTATGAGTTATGTTAATTAGGTTGATGCAAGCATTCCACATTGTGTATCAAATCATCACATTGTACCCCATAAATGTATACAGTTATGATTTAATAAAAATTAAGTTTTAAAAAACTAATATGATTAGATCTCAAAAACCTAGTGCTGAGTGATCATACAGCATGTATATTTAACATACAGACCCACAAACATCATATTCTACATTCTAGAACACATGCAAACAGAAGATACACCTGAAATATTTTAGAATGGTTGTCTGCGGAGGAAGAGGGATTGGGACAAAATTGGGAATTGGGGAACTGCAGAACTGGGGGTAAAAGAGAATAAATATGCACAGCAAGAGAAAGGAACCTTTGTTGGTAATGTGCCCTGACCTGAGAATCGTGAATGAACTCAACTAAACTCAGTGTGCCTAAGGTCCTTCCCACCACCAGACCAACAAAAAACCCTGATTTAGGAATCACTTTGGTCCCTGCAACCACAAAAGGTTAGAGTGAAATCAGAAAAGCAGGCCCAGGTCAGATCCTGTAAATGCTGTAGTAAAAGAAATGGGGTTTGGATGTTATCCTAAATACAAAAGGAACCAGGGAAAGGACACGATGGACATATTTAAAATGTCACTCTAACGGTATGGAGATAGACAGTAGAGAGGAAAGTGTGGGGAAAGGAGACCATCTAAGAGACAGGGAGGCCATCTTCATACCCCCGGCTCTGAGTCAGGCACAAAATGGATGCTCCATGAATGCTGCCCAGTCAAAGCACAACTCAGCAAAGCCTTGGGTTCACGTACCGTGGAGACCAGAGAAGACTTCACTCATTATTTTTTTTAGGGAATGAAGCTTTGTCCTCCATTGAGATTATATCCCTGAAGAATAGAGGACATGGTTTTTTTTATATTACTTCACTCCATGTTAAAGGAAAGGAAAGGAGGCATACACAGTGCATAAGACACCACCTAACCCTGGAATTGGTTCTTTTTTTATTTTTATTTTTCCAGACACAGTCTCATTCTGTAACCCTGAGTAGAACGCCATGGCATTATAGCTCACAGCAACCTGGGCTCAAGAGATTCTTCTGCCTTAGCCTCCCAAGTAGCTAGGACTACAGGCACCCACCAAAACACTTGGCCAATTTTTCTATTTTTAGTGGAGACAGGGTATCCCTCTGGCTCAGGCTGGTCTCATACTCCTGAGCTCAAGCAATCCACCCACCTCCCAGAGTGCTAGGATTACAGGTCTGAGCCACCACACTCAGTTCCCGGAATTGGTTCTATCAGGCAGTCAAAGGAAGGTTTAAGCTTCCCTGGTGCTTACTCTTTTCCTAGGGCTAGGAATTAGCCCACTCTAGATGATTTACAAGGGGCATAATATGCTTTTGGATGACGGGACATTCATTGACTTTCCCCAGAGAAAGTCGAACACACTCGCTCTGGCTCATCCTCTTCCTGTACTCTGTTACATAAACCTGCTGGGGAATGTGTGCTTCTTACTGGAAAAATAAGGAACTTGAGTTCTAGAGAGTAAAGAGATGTGTCTGGGATCACACAGCAAGGTCACAAGAGACAGGACTAGCACCTCTCGAGACCACACCAGCGCTTTTACTGAAGAAAACATTGTCTTACATAATCAAAGTAGCTTTTCACCTTTAAAAGCAGCTGCACAGATTGTTCCATAAAAATAAAGAGAGAAACAGCTGAATTATTTATCTTGCTTCCCTTCGACTCATTCTCTGAGTTGGTTTAGGATTGTGGAATGAGAAAGGAGGAGCTGAGGGAAGGTGAGAGGCCCGACTGGGAAGCAGAGATGAGAAGCCTGAAAAGAGGATGCAAATGGAAACAGCTGGAAGGACTGTACCCTAGTTTTGTCAAAATATGTCACAGAAAAAAAAAGAATCACACTTAAGATTGTGGGGGGTCAGCTGCTACTCTAAAGGGAAACTGAGTTAAAGCATTCAATTGCAGTTCGAGTATAAAATCCTGTTGGTTTTAGTCAAGCAAAAGTCTTTTCTGTTTGTTCTCAGATAATTCAGACATAGGCTATTTTTAAAACTTCCTCTGGTGCCAGTGTCCCCAAAGGCCACAAAGGGAATACGTCCTGTGATGACGGCAGCGTCAGTGTTGTCCCATTCCTTGGTCCAGGGCCTGCCCGCGGGGTTTGGGCCTTCGACCAATGCCCACCCTGGTGACAGGATTTATGTCAGACTGACAGGATGACTGTAGTGCGTTCCAAAGAGGGAATGCAGGCATCAGCCAAGAGGATTGTCTGCTTTGACTGTTCTTGCCAGGTCTGGAGTAGTTTGAATATTTATATTCTGGGCATAGAAATAATAGAGGTTGATTCTGGTAACTGAGCGGGGTCATATCCTGTACTTTCAGAACAATGAGGAAGGGTAAAGAGGAAGTCTAAATAAACATTCCAAACCATGAGGGCAGGAAAGCAAGCCTGAAACAATATACCGGCTCCTGGAGAAGAGGTCTAAGGGATAGACCCCCTCTCTCTCTGAAAGGTTTTCATGACACCTAGGTCCTTTTGTCTTCATGCGCCCCTTTTTCCACAAAAAAAAATTTAAAAAATCATATTTTATGCTGAGCACAGTGTTTCTTAGCTGTAGTCCCTGCTACTCAGGAGGGTGAAGCAGGAGGATCACTTGAGCCCAGGAGTTGGAGTCCGGCCTGCATGAAATAGAGAGAACCTTTCTTTAGAAATAGCTGCATATACTTATGTTAGGACTGCATTTACATAAAGGCAAATGTATTAATATTATGTGTTAAATTTATCCTTTAAGTTAAAATTCATGTTTTTGATTTTAAAAGAAATTAAAACTTTCTTTTGGTAATCTCTAAAAGTATTGTGGGCTCTGGATACTGTGACCGATGGGAAGGGAAGGGCTTGAGGAACACAGAGGAAGCCCACTGGTGGCTGTGGGGGTGAGCATGTGAGTATACGGGCAGTTTTTGGAGCAAACATAAAATAAGCCCTCTATTTAGGGACAAGAGTTCTGTGTTGGACTCAAACAAGAATCAGGCAACAGACCGGGCGCGGTGGCTCATGCCTGTAATCTCAACACTCTGGGAGGCCAAGGAGGGCAGATTGTCTGAGCTCAGGAGTGCTAGACCAGCCTGAGCTACAGCAAGACCCCATCTCTAAAAATAGCCAAGTGTTGTAGTGGGTGCCTGTAGTCCCAGCTACTTAGGAGGCTGAGGCAAGAGAATCACTTGAGCTCATGAGTTTGAGGTTGCTGTGAGCTGTGAGGCCACAACACTCAATCCCAGGGCAACTAAGTGAGACTTTGTCTCAAAAAAAAAAAAGAATCAGTCATCAGTTTTTGCATGAAATCCTCTCAGAAGTTGCATACTCTGTAGTGTATTTTGGAGAAAGCTCATTTATGACACAGTGCTCTTTATTCAAGCAGGGACCCCTATTTGTAGCCGGTCAGAAATTATCTTTGGACTTCTGAGTTGTAGCCTGTTGTGAATATGTATGTTCTGATGAAGAAAGGACAGACACAGAGGATGTCAGCGTGATGCAAGGAGAGAAGAGGACAGTCTATGTGAGATCTAGGAAAAAAAAG